GCGAAATTTTTTGCTTTGCCCTCGTCGTCGACAAGCTCGTCGAAGGGTAAGTTAGAAAAGACGGGGTTGAGAAGACGGGTTTGAAGTTTATCTTGCAGGATTATAATATTCATCTTATATTTTTTATTTAGCGAAAATTTATTTATGAAATTATTAATATAATTCATCAAAAAATATTTTAAAAAATTAAAATAAAAAAATTTATTATTTAAAAAAACGATGAAATAATTAATATATTATTATATAAAATAGGAAACATATTAATGATTAATAATAATAAAATAAATCTAATTTTAAATAAATAAATATATAATATAAATACTCGTATTTTGTTCTTTTCAAAAAAGAAAAATTTTTTATATTGTACAATAGTTTTTTATCTATTTTTCAATTTATTACTTAATGAATTTTCAAGTTTATATTTTTTAAACATATTGCTTATGATATAATCTGATATTTTAATCAATATTAATAGTTTAAATTTTTATTAAAATTCTCGTTATAAAAGAATTTTTTAACTTCGGTTTATAAATATTCATTTTTGCATTTAATCTTCTATTTCTTTTTTAACAAATAAATTAAGAAAAAAAATGTTAATATCCGACTTATGAAATAATGATATAATTCTTTAGATACACATCATATGCAAAATTTCGAGGCCTGAAAAATAATTGAGAAAGGATTCGAATATACGGTAATCAACTTTTTTCATTAGAATTTTTTGCTCCCGACTCATAGAAAAATAGCAAAAAATTATGAACTACTACTCTCAATGTGAAACTCGTGAGATTTTATCAAGATATAGTTCAACTTTCTTCGGTTAAAAGATACAACATGATGAACAAAAAATATAAAAAACTATTTTTCATTCATTTTTCTAAAGTATATTTTATATTTATATGATTATATATTCTATTGTAATAATTAGAATTCTAATTATAGATTAATCTAAAATCTAATTATAGATTATTCATTGATTTTATATTATAACATTCATGAACATTTGCATAAAATTATGTTTAATTTAGATTTATTAATTTTAAATATTAATATATACATATATTTATATATGTATAATATTTCTTTATTAATGTTTAATATTATATTTTATATTATGTTTTATATTATTTATACTATTATTGGATATAATTAAAAAAGAATACATTTTTTTTTTTTAATATTTATAATTCTGATATTTTAAGTTTTTTATAAATGCGAATGGCAGTAAAATTAGTATAATTAGTTTAATGACTGATAATTAAAAACTAATTAAACGACAATACTCAATATTTAGATTCATACTTAATACTATACATAATCGTTACATCATTCTTAAAAAAAAATATTCTCGCATTATCACTTACAGACTATACATTTACATAGTACATTGTTGATTATTTATCAACTTTTATATATATTAAAATAAATGCATAAAGTCGTATTAAAAAAAAGACATATTCAAATATTTAAAATAAATATTAAAGTCACATTTGACATAAATTGTCAATTATTATATTATCATTATAAAAACTTTCTAGGAACTCGTAAACATTCAATTAAAATTAGTAGTATATGAAGTCTTAACATTTATACGAATTTATATAAAACATTCATTGGATTACAATGATAAATAATCTATTTATATTATTATATAATATTAAAAATGCAATTTTCGTAACAAGCACGCAAATAAATGGAAGCATGCAAATAATATAAAATCATACACAACCATATTCGTACCATACTTGATTGCCTGTTTTTGAATCTTTATCCACAGGCGTTTCCATCATTGTTTCCTCTTGTGCTACATTCTTCATTCCGCTATTATTAAGATTTTTTGATTCATTTATAACTGCTGATACTTTATTATATATCAGAACCGGTCGTGGTTCTACTTGCACCTCCGATCTTGAAGTTTGTTCTAACAATATAGAACGTCTATCGTCTCCCTGTTCCTATAATAAGCATTTCATATACAAAAAAAATATTTTATTAGAAAAAAAACTTATAGAATTATAAATTAATAAATTTATACATACTGGTAATGTGCTTGATGGTGGTGGAGAATCATCCGTATAATACACTGTTCTTCTAGTTCCTGGATGACCAAGAGACAATGCATCCGATCCAAGACCTCTAGCTGATCCTAAAATTAATTATAAACATTCCTTATTAATAATATTTTTTTAAAAAATAATATTTATTTAAAAAAAATATTTATTTATAAAAAATAAAATAATATAAATAAATAAAAAATAATTTAATAATTGTGTTTTTTATTTTAATGCATGAAATATATTTTGCTGTATTTTATTACTGCAATTAAACAGCTTATATATTTTTAAATTGCATCTTTACCTGCTATGCGATGATCTTCTGTACTAGCATCGGAATCATTTCCACCAGATTCTGATTCATAAGTTTTTCCTTCTGAG